CACGTATTTTAACAAATTTACTAAAGTCAAGATGAAATTCTGCATTTTTAACTATTTGTAATTAAATGCTACTGTTGTAATTGAAAGTAATCACCCAATCTATTATAAATATACCCTTAGATTATTATATGAATATCAAATACAGACTTTTAGAAAATTTAGAGTTCCTTTTTGCATATCGGTAGATAAGAGAGATTGATCTTCGAAAATATTTGGTTATTTTGTGGTTGAAGTGAAATTTGATCCTTACACAGTTATATTTAAAGATATGTAATTGTAAGATTGATTTATAAATCATTATTTATGCGGACTGCATTTTATTGAATGTATAAGAACTAGTATATTTTTCTCTTCGTTGATGATATATGATTTTGTAATTTTATATTTTTTAACTTTCCGAAGGAGAAGTTTGTTTCCATCAAAAAATAGGATTCGCTAATTTTATGTTTTCTCGACGTTTCTAAACATTCTGAATCGAATGAGACCAATTTTGGTAAATTATGTGTGTGTGTATGTGAACAGATTTTTTGCCATAAATCGACGTTTTCTCAAAACCGGCTGGACCGATTTCAAAAATTTAAAAACCATTCGATGTATCGCGATGAGGACTATAGCGTTTATCAATTTTGCATGACGATCAGCCAAGCCGTTTCTTTGTAAATAACAGAAAAGTTAAAAATTTTTCGTCCACGTTTTAGCCCGCAGTTCTGAATCGATTTTGAAAATTCAAAAACCGTTCGAAAGATATTGATTGTGAATCGTGCTGATGTGTTTTTGGTAGAGATCGGCCAAGCCGTTTTCTTGTAATAGTGTTAAAAAAAATTTTTTCGACGATTTTTATTATTTTTTTGACGGTAGATACCATAGTCTTCTAGATCATACTAAAATAGTACGGTCCTGCGACATCTCGTTTAGCTTTAAAAATTCGTCAAAGTTTGCAAAAATTAGTATCGCTTTTTTGGAATTTGTCAAAATTAGACCTTTCATAGACGATTGCTCAAAATCGTCTGAACCAATTTCAGAAATTTAAGAACCATTTGATGTATCTCAATGAGGACTATCGCTTGTCGGTTTTGTGTGACGTTCGGCCGAGCCGTTTCTTTGAAATTTGGAAAAAAGTGTTAAACTTTTCGTCCACATTTAAGCTCATACTACCAAATCGATTTTATAAAATCAAAAACTGTTCAAAAGATATTAGTTGGGAATGATACTAATCAGTTTTAGGTAAAAATCTACCGATCCGTTTTCTTGTAATTAACTGTTGAAAAACAAATTTAAGCCGATTTTTTTGGAACTTTTATTGGCGATATATATTAGGTTGTCAAATATTTTTTGCTCTTGGTTTATAATACAAAAAGGCGGAAGGGAGATATTTGACAACCTATTATCATGGTCTTATAGAACTTACTGAAATATTACGGCCTTACGACAAGTAGTTTAATTTTAAAAATTCATCAAAGTTTGAGAAAATGAGTAGTTTTTTTGACGTTTGTTAAAATTAAAATTAGAGGATTTACTTGGTATAACGATAGAGTACTTGGTCTTAATGAACATACTAAATCATTAAATTCCTACGAAAACTGGTTCAATGAACTTTACTTGCTTTTAGAAAATACTCCGTATTAACGTATTAATTTGTGTGTAATAAATCCATTCGGAATACTTTTAATCACTCAAATTATTTTTTATTGATTAAGTCGATTATTTACACATATCGGAAAGTTCATGTAACTTGCCTCAAGGCAAAATACCAATACCAACCAGTTTTCCTCTTCGTTGATGATATCTGATTTTGTAATTAAATTTTCTATTTTTTCTCACTTTGATCTCTATTAGTTAATGGAATCCTTTGTGTACAAACAACACTTGAATTTAATATTTTACAATTATTAAACCTTCAAAGTTGTAGAAAACTTACGATATTGACTTCACTCGGATACAGAGTAAAACGACTACTTAAATCTTACATTATTGAACGCTGTTAATCAATTTAAAGTTTTAATTGAACAGGTTTTCCTTACATCTCAAATCGTAATATAATTAGATGTATTTATTCATTCGTTTTCTTTATATACACAGGTATCCTTTGCAACTCAATTTAAAAAGGGAATTTGGATTAAACTCACGAAAGCGTAAAAGTGGCAAAGTGGGATTTTGTAAAGTTCCTCAGATTTCTCTGAATAACTACCATTTAAAATGCATATTAGTAAGCATGGATAATATAGATGAACTTTTATATTAGTGAACGTATTTTTACGATAAATGTCTCAAGTTTCTGTGAAAAGTTGCGTAAATGCGATGTTGTATCACACCGATTTTATCGTAACGCAACGCGACACGACATCAAAAACTTTATCTCTCTGCCGGATTGGAGCGGACGGGAATTATAAGTTAAATTAAACAGAAACTTTTTTCAAATCTCAATAAAATAAATCGTATTTCAGACGGCTTTAATTAGATTGATACAGTCCATTTAACAATATATCTTGATGAAAAATTAGGGACTGTGATCCGAAGTCAATCGCTTGTTCATTTTCGAAACATGGTGAAACATTTTTCTATAAAGTCACTTTGAAAGTTATTCGTTAATATTTAGCAGAGTTTGATATAGATTTAACTTCCAGTAAGTTATAGTAATCGCAAAAAAAACGAAAATAAAAATTTTCATATATCTTTACGTTTTAGAGGTTTCTGAACATTATGGCATACCTTAGAAAAAAATGGATGTGTGTGTGCGGATACAAATTTTCGTTGACGATTTCGGGAACACGGCTCAACCAATTTCAATTATTCAAAAAACATTCGATTGCTGTTGATAAGGAAACGTGCTGATTAGTTTTTGGCATAGGCAGGTCTAGCCATTTGGAAGATACGGGGCAAAAAGTGCCATAAACGGTAACTAAGTTTAAGAGAACGGAGTGTTCGATTTTAATAATTCAAAAAACATTTTACTTGTATTAACAAGATGAAGAACTGATCAAATTTTCGTGAAGGCAGGTCTAGCGGTTTCGGAGATCTAGTAAAAAAAGTAAAAAATTGCCATTTGGCGGTCAAAAATGATCAGTAGACATATGCACATGAAATTATCAGATATTTTATAGAGATTTTAGCAATAAGTATAAATTTTGTTTACATTCCTATTGGTTCCCTACCAATGTTTATCCGTTAGACGGCGATGCGGCGCTTACGCGCTTTGATATTTCGCCTCTATGCAGTTAAAGCTGTACGATTGCTTTGAAAAAAAGTTCAAAACTTCCAAAATATTTCAAAATAAAGATAACATTTATTAACAGTATGAAAATGCACTTTTTGGCATTGTAGCACTCTTTTGGAAAATCATATTTTTCTCAAACACGGTGATCTGAAATATCTCATTTATATCATTATATACTCATTGGTATTTATAAAACATTTTCTAAGTTATATTATTTTTTATTTATAATATTTAAATTCAAAACCTAAATTTGGTATCGATCCAAGAGACATTTTGTCTTATAACATTTTTCCAGTTATAATTTCTCAGAATTTATCAAAGAATAGATAGTAATATATGAAGGACCGGCGTTAGAAAGGTCCACCACCGATGTGTCAAAAACCAGTAAAGTTAAGCATTGTTTAACAACAATATTTGAAAATAGAGGAAAAAAGATGTATAACCAGCTATAACCTTGATTCTCACGACCCTGCTATCGAGAGATAAACGGTAATCTTTGAAAATCTATAATAAAAGTATTTTCTTTCGTTGGTAGTTTTTTAGCATTAGTTAAAAATGTAATTATTTTGCAAAATATCTTTAAAATTAAAATAAGACATTAAACCTGTTTGTCACCCGGCCGTTCCAAGTTTCCCCTATAGGGTAAAAAGATCTCGATAACAAATTTTTGAAAGACAGCAAAAAAGCCCATTTCTACAATGTTGAAGTAGCTGGCAGTTTTACTGAACGTAGCCAGATAATTGTTCGTTTGAAATGTGTTATTTGTTGTGATATAATTGTTTTGGTTTTCACAATATAGTTTATATTTGCTCAAAGTCAAATTGGACCTTTGTGTCTCGCCCTGTTCTACATATATACTTTTTATTAAATTTACTTTAATTCATCGAATGTTACTTGAAACTTTTCAAAAAGCAGGTCAAAGAAGAAATACTTAATTCATATTCTATGTCTTCTTGCAGAAATTTGAAAATGTTGTATAAGCTCAGTAGTATTATTTACAATTATACACAAAATACAGAATCCAAAAAGAATCTGAAAGACTTGAAACGTAATCAATAAGTCGAAAGACCAAAAAAGACTGGGATTGGATTATACCATGTTTTCTACAGAAAGTGTATAGAACTTCCAGTTTGATTGTATTGACAAAATATAGACAAACTAATGGGGTTTATTGCTTTTATAATACTTCATTGTGTAGAGCATTCAAACAATACATCCTTATACACTTAAAGTATTAATATTTTTGATTCTCTACAAATTGTTTAGAATGTACCTTACTTAGCAAAACAACGTTTGCCGGGTCAGCTAGTATATATATATATATATATATATATATACAGTAGAACTCAAATTATCCAAATTAATGGGGACCGGGACCCATTCGGATAATCAAATATTCAGATAATCGAAGTTTTTTTTTAAAAAAATTGCCATTGGAGAGAAAAAAGTTACGTTTTGATATTGCACTATTTTTTTATTGAATTAAATGAAATAAACATGATATTTTCACATGTTTTAAATATAAATAAAATGTACTTATGTACAAGTTTAGAAATAAAAATCATTGTTTTTTAAACATCTCCGTCAATGTAAGCTGTTTTGCGGTCTTCAACCGTTCAACCGTTTTTGCGGTGGAAGAATAATAGCGCACTTAGACTTTTTTTGGACATTTTTTTTTCTGAAAGTGATTCGGATAATCGGCGATTCGGATAGTCGGAGTTCGGATAATTGGAGTTCTACTGTATATCGATACATGCAACAAATGTGAACAATGCAATTTACTCACCACGTCGATCAGCTGCGACAACTTGAGCTTAATACAGACCCTGAGCACGTCCGAGGTGTTGACCACGGGCCTTACTAACTTGTTGTAATTGCTGAGGAGATCGTCGTAGAGTCGCTTCGCGTCCGGATTGCCGGCGACCGCTCCGTGCACCACCAGGGCGGACAGAAGCCACGCGCGGAGCGTCTCTCCGGCGCTCGGCGGCATCGTTCATCAACACTTGGATATACTTTTTCACACAAACACTTTTTATTTATTTATTTATTTATTGTTTCTATTATCGTTGAGTACGCCTGAAACATCACATTGTTTTTACTTTTTTACTCGAGCCAACTTCTCTCGTAAATTCTTTTCAACTTCAAATATTGCGAAAGTTTTCCGAGCAGAATTACCGCGATACTCGATATCTGGATTTGGCATATGTTGGGCGGAAACGGCACGTGCAATGGCAGCTTAATTATTAAAGTAGTTTTGGAAACTTTAGAGATTTATTCGGATTAGTAAAAAAAGTTTGTTGTCGAAAATTAAGACCGTACTAATATAACATTGGAACAGAAACTGAAACTCGCGCACGTTATTTTGTTTATCATAACAACACTGCGATGCCAAAACGTGGATCAATCCTGTTCATCTTTGATGCTGAAATAAAAAAATATTTAATTTAATAAAATAACATTGTTAAATAAAAAAAGAGCACGCAAAATATTAAGGGGGTATTCTAGTGTAGAATTTAAAAAAATCGATTTTTGTTTTGTTTTATATTTTCAAAGTTAGATAGTTAAATCTAAGAATATGCGTACGAGAAGGTTTTAGAAAATTTGAATTATTTTCGGAGATATAGGCATTTTACTGACTCGGTCTCCAAACTGGTTTGGCAGAGTCTAATCGGACAAAACGCATTAGGAAGTCATTAGACCAATTTAAGACAGTTTATCGTCAGATGAATTATTACTTCGATGTATAGGTTCAGAAACTCAGAACAATAATGAGTCTCTAAACTCGTTGATTTGGATTTTCGCGCCGAAACATATTCATTCCCAATCTCAGGTATTTTAAAAGCAACATTTATTGCTGTTTGTATATTCAATGAAGGTTCCTTCCCGATTTTAAAAATGATGACCGTTATGGTAATGCAAATTGGGCCAGAAACCATTCATTTGCTGTAAGACTAAACAATGCCCGGATTGGACGATCTAAAATACGTACATCCAACGCTTCAAAGGAGGCTAGAACTGCTCGATTTAAAGAGAGAAATGCAGAAAATAATTTTTTTAAAGTAGAAGAAGGTCCGATGCATAAAGAAGGAATGGCAGATTAAATAGAAGAAGTATAACATATCATTTTATGATTTTGGCAGCAAAAAACTTCACGCAAAACTTATGCGTTTTTCTCAGAACAGACTTTTTCAGTACTGTTGACACGATTTCTTGAGTTCTACTCGATCGATTCACTTGAAATGTTCAGAGAGTCTTGTTTATAGACCTATCTGTAGCCCGAACTAGCATCATCCCCAAATTCTAATTTTTATCATATTTAAAAAATTCGAGAAACTCAAAAAAACAGTAAAAGGACACTTTTTTCAAACAGTCGCCAATTTCTAAAAAAAAAATTTGTTTACTCATCGCTAGTTCGGGCGAGTGCGACATCATTGTAGATTAATAATCTTTTTATTTATTTTATTACGGATGGCTAGCAGGACTGAAATCATGTCAAGCACTTCATCAGCTGCCAGTTTCTTCAATTTTCAACTTTTTTTTAAATTCTTGTATTGTGTTTTAATAATATTAATAAACAAGTGGTAAAAAAATGGATACTAAAAACATTCATTGCTTTCTTTTACGACACTTTCTGCTTGAAAGATGACAAAAAGTCATTCAATGGACAAAATAAACTTATTAAGTTTCATAAAAAAAAGTCTGATTTTCTCAAAAAAAAAAAAATCGCTATTAGTTGTCAACCTGATAATGATATATCTGTATATATTACATATCTTCAAATAGAAATAAATTCTAGTTGGGGCTGTGTACTGATTATTACATTGTTGATTATTTTGAATTTCCAAATATGACATATAATGACTATAATCTTGAAAAGCCTGAATAAGTTTAATAAAGTCTTAAATGCTTAGTATTACTGAAGAAAGTTGAACCCGAAAACTTTTCAAGTAATTCTGCGTAAATTACAAAACCGTATTTTAAAATCTGAAGGAGAGACTAAGTACTTAATTATTACGCCTTCAAGCTATTATTCAAGTATTTAATAAAATAATAATGCCGATATTCATCACTTTTATTTAATAGCTGCTAATAATAAATAGAAATTTAACATAAATTAAAAACATTTGATTTGTACCAACAGTCTTGGAAAGTTTTTGTTAAAGGCAGGGTATAACTATATATTATCACAATATTGAATTTGTATGAAGTCAAAACTTTAATCAAAAACTTCTCGTGTCCCTTTAATATTTCTTCTCAATTCAACGTTGATACTTTTTAAGTAGTTTTCAAAATTTCATTCTGAGAAACATCTACAGTTAATTCGACTAAAAACGAAACTCATAATTTACTATATTATTCGTCCAACCAACTAATCTTTACGATTAGTTATATGTGTTTTATATAAAAAATGTGCACTTCTACTAAAACTAATAAGCTTTTTATTTACGCGTATACGCTCCAAAAGTTTTTACGACCAATTTCACGAAATTGGGTACTTCATGAAACGTTTTATAGTTTTTAAATGCTTTTTTTATTATTTACTTTAAATATTACATGCTCATATGAAGAAACTTGGATCAAACATAAATTTCGCGTCTCATCACAAGTTTTGATTTAACGATAGTGAAGATATAGTTTATTAAATACTTTGTTTAGTAGCTTGAAAAAATAATAAATAAGAGTATATAAATTGTTTCTTTGGATTTTAAAATATGGTCTTGAAATTTGCGTAGAATACTTGAATGTCGTTTTGCTAACTCAAAACTTTATTAAATTTATTTAAGTTAAAGTTTAGGTTTGAACTTTGAAGTTCAAAGAAATCGTTATGTATTATGATTTCATTAAAAATTATTACAAAACTTCAATCAAATTTATTTGTTTTTATAAATATGTACACATTAACCATAAATTAAAAAAAAAAGAAATATATAAATTGGTTAAACATTCCTTTGAAAATTTCTATACATTCTATGTATATATAGTTTTTTTTAACACCACTGAATGAAGGGTATGAGGGTATATATATATATATATATATATATATATATATATATATATATATATTGAATGTGAAATATGAACAATACAACACTCAGACTTTTTAACACACACTTTATTTGGTAATTGCAGACGTTTCGAGACCATGGTATGCCTCATCTTCAATTACATTTTTTAATATTTTATTTAAATTACATCTAATTTTTGAAAATACAAAAAACACCAACTATCATTTGCAAAGCTTGACACAGAACTAAAACATGTGAAACATAGAGAAATATTTTAACAAATTTTAAGTATCGAGATGAAGAGACAAGATGGGTATTATTATAATGTAAACAAATGGAGTGCGCGATCGCATACTAAAGTCAACAAATGTAAAAACAGATTAATTTATTGAAGACAATAAGATAAATGAAAAAAAAAATTATAAATTATTAATGATGTTTATATAAGAGTCGTGTAAAATATTTGTGTCGGTTCTCACATTTACGCTATCGTTAGTCCGAACTATTAACATTGATTCTGCCATGCTCCGTTTAAATAAGGGTTTTTCATGGAATAAGATTTGGGGATTGTCGAAATCAAACTTATGGTTTTTGATATTAGCATGATCCACAAGCGTACTTCTAAATTTGTTGTTATCTCTTTTTTCGCATTGTAATTCATGCTGCTCGAGTCTTTTTTCTAAGTTCTAACAAGTCTGGCCAATATAAGAACAATTACAATCCAAATCATTTACTTTATAAACTATATCTTTCTTTTTTGTTAAAGAAATTCTTTAATGTTGGCATATAACAATTTTAATTGTTTCCATGAAGAAAAGGTAATATGAATATTGTATTTTTTGAATAGTCATTTTGAAAATTGGTTAAAATTATTGTCAAGATATAGAAATTACACTGAAGATGAAGAAGAAGAAAAAATCTGAGTATTGTATTGTTCATATTTAACATTTAATATATAAATAAATAAATATATATATATATATATATATATATAAACGGTTATTAATTAAACGTTTACAACATAAAAACAATTCAAAAAATCCAAGACAATTTAAAACTATGATTGTGGAGCATATTTATACTTTAAAACACAATATGCACTTTTCTAACCCGACTGTACTACAAATCGAACAAATTTAAACGAAAAATTATAGAAGGATCTTTTTTAACTATTTATAACAATAAAACAATAAATAAACAGATTGAACTTAACACGCTATGCGATACAAATCAAATTAAACGTTTACAACAACATTAAAACAATTCAAAAAATCTGAGACAATTTAAAACTATGATTGCGGAGCATATTTATACTTTAAAACACAATATGGATTTTCTAACCCGACTGTACTACAAATCGAACAAATTTAAACGAAAAATTATAGAAGGATCTTTTTTAACTATTTATAACAATAAAACAATAAATAAACAGATTGAACTTACCACGCTGTGCGATACAAATCTCTTATTTAGATAGTATTTCCAAATTTCTCACAATATATGTATATATATATATATATATATATATATGTGTGTATATATAAATATATAAATATATATATATTTATACACACATAATATATATATATATATATATATATTATAAATATATATATATTATGTGTGTGTGTATATAAATATGTATATATAATTGTCGTAAAAAAATTAAATTTCCAAAATAATGAAAAAAAATATTTTTGACTTCTTTACGGTTGCTTAAGGCGAAGTTGATAAATCATTCTAAACTACTATTATTATTATTTTACCTTGATTTTTTCTTCAACTTCATGTAACAACAGTGTATTAAAACTTAAGTCTCTTAGTATTATTATTAAATACTATTCCATCGCAATTTTAAATTTAAATTTCACTGTCACATTTCGTCAAATTTAATTTAATTAAAAAACGTCGGAAATTTCTTTGGCAAAAGAACCTCCGCCGCCTAAATCTGATGCGATACTATTCTAGAGAGGCGAGAGAGAAGAGAGGCCTCATCCGCCCGGAGCTTTGCGCAGAATCCGGAATTAAAATATCTTCATACAACACAACATCATCCACCACTGTTGTCCCAAATTATATACATATATATATATATATATATATATATATATATATACATATATATTTCCCTCGGTGTATGTGTTCCGAATCAGTATGCAAAAATTACGCAATTACAAAATTATCACAGAGAGTAGAAACATTTTAAGAGTTTTTAAGCTCGAGTGCCAATTCGAGTTTTATAACACATTCATGCATTCACTAATGGAGATATAATACGGTTTTGAATAAAACAGTAGGTTTTTGTCGAAAAATATTCAAAGCATATTATTCGAATCGGAATATAGTGCTTAAAGTGCTTTAGTTTAGAGAAATTTATAATATACTAGATGACCCGACAGACGTTGTCCTGTACTTG